CGTCTTTTGCACATGTCTTGACCAATTCTTTGTTCAGGACAAGGACCTGGAAAGCATGTCCACAAGCACCCCACAACCCCATAACAAAAATGGTTATTCAAGTCAGAGTTAATATCAGTATGTAACAGTAACATTAAGATGTTGAGCTCAAACACTGTTTTCTCTCTAGGGTTTCACTACTAGATTTCCTATTTTAATTCAGGTCTAGTTGCTCAAGAATTAGATCTCATTTTAACTCATTTACTCAGAATCAGATTTTGGTAGATTCTTAGAATTTAGCAACTAGAAAGAGTGGTGATGAAGTACAAATTAGAAAAATGTCTTCCCAGTTGCCACTAGTGCTGCTTCTCTTAACCAATATCCTGTTAAAAGAATGTCAAGAAGAAAACCCATGAAACATGCAAAACTATGGACAGACAGCTGGTGTCACTGTGGAATCATTTTCATGATCTATGCTGGGCAAAAGAAGCCGGAGCTGACCTGTGCTTCCTGGCCTCATGGCTCCATGGTCTGGAGCCACCCCACCCAGCAGGACAGAGGCAGGCAAGAGGTGGTGCTGACTTCTGGCCTGACCAGAGAAGCTGACCTCCTCAACTTTCTCCTGCAGTGAGAAGTCTCACTGCCAGAGGACAATGGGCAGGAGGAAAGAAAGGGATGCATGGTGGCCTGAGGATGGCCCCAAGGACAAATCCTGAAGGCATACAGAAAGGTCATTAGCCTGTCAAAGAATGAGGCAGCCACAAGAGAAGAAAATGGAACCAGGTCCAGCATGCTTAGGAGAGCACATGATGCTCACTGACTGAAAGCCATAGAGAATGTGCCGAACTGTGCACCTCAAGCTTCATATCTGAGAAGGAATTATCCAGGCCACAGTGACCCAAGGCCACGAGAAGTCCCCTGAGCCTTGTGTGGATCTATCCTTCATCTCTTCTGATACTCAGGGGGAAAGGATATAGCTGTTAATGATGTAGCATGAGATGGGGATTTTGGAACAGTTCTTTTCAGATAGTCAGGAAAAGGATGGATCTGAGAACAGAAGTAGAGACAATGGACAATGGGATGAGACAAAAGGCAAAGGAAATGCAAAAGGTCAGTAGTGAGGGTCATTAGATACTGACCTCAAACAGACCTCAGTTTGAATGCTGAATCTTCCATGTGTTCCAGTACAACAAGTAACAACTTTAGGTTTCTGTTTCTTCCTTGGTGAAACGGGGATCAGGAACAATCCCACGAAGTTACTTTGAGTTTTAATGCTCATACTATGAGCAGCAGTGAGAAAGAATAAGGAAAACAAGGTAGCAGGACCTGGATCCCGCAGTCAGGATTTAATGAACAATGCTCATTATTAGTATTAAGAACCTTACAAGAAAAAAGAACTGATTGAAGCAAAGAAAGGAATGAGGGCCTGCAAAGAAACTGGAAAAACAATCACAGTGATCTATGTACAGTGGTATCTCAGTTCACAAACTTAATTCTTTCCACGACTCTGGTCGCAAACCAAATTGGTCATGAACCGTATCAAATTCAATGGTTAGGTTCCATGTTGACTTTATGGGAAATTCGATTCGGTACCCAACCAATTTGGTTTGTGACCAGAATTGTGGGAAGAACTAAATTCACAAACCAAGTTATCACTATACATTGGCAATCCTGAAGAGAAGAATTAGAATTGCAAAAATGTCTAATTGGACATGCACAGGAGTGCCAGAAGGCTGAGGAGGGTAAAAGGCTTAAAAAAGGATGTGGAAAAGGATGAATTAGTGATTCAATCTATTAAATATATTTTTGAGAAATAAATCAAGCAGAACAAAATAAGCTAAACTATGAAGACAGAAAATTTCCTGGAGTGAAGAATAATAGCATGCAGATCAAAGGGCTCACTATATTTCAAACAAAATTAATTTTTTAAAAGTTTAATGGTATCTACCCAGATATAAATAAGCAAAAAATTTGAACTTTGGAAATAATCTTTAAAACACCTCGAAAGAAGGTTCTGAGAAGCAGCTTATATAGAGGTTGTTCAGATATTCTATAAACATGGGCCAGGGATTTGGCTCCGTGGTTCCGCTGGCTGCCTTGCAAGCACAGGGCCCGAGTTCAATCCCTGGTACCACAAAAAATAAAACAACAACAACAAAAAACTTAAAATAGATACTCTATAAACAATTCCAGAGCACAGAAGAACCATCCCAAGAATTATATTAAGTGAATTAAGACAATAAAATCTGAAGAGAAAAGTAAGTCACTAACCCTACTTTAACTTCTGAATGATGAAAAAAATCTAAATAAAACCCTAGCCAACTTAATTAAGCAGTATTACAAACTGCATAGACACAATTAAGTTGGCTCTGGCCCCACAAGACAAAGATGGCCTACAATTAATACATCTGTTAATGTATCAGTAAAAATATTAAAAGATAATCCCTAGTTTTCAATGAGAAGCTTCAAGTATTATTTCTGCCAACCTGAATAAAAGGTTATAGATATTTATGAAAGTCAACTCCCTATTTTAAAATAGCTATGCACACATATTTGAAATTGTATAACAAAAGAAATATTGATCTACAAATATTTTTTATTCTCACATATCAAGAAAAAAATTTTATTCTACTCTTCTCATACATTCTTGATAGTACCTGTGTTGCTACAAGAGTCACTTTGAGATATTTAACACAGTCTTCTAGAGCTACCATCTTCACTTCTGAAGACTTTTGGTCCATGAATGATATATTAATCTATGTGTACTTTCATTTCAGGAAATCATTAGTCCTAAAATTGTGTAACTGAGAGTTCTACAACAAAGATGTGTTTTATAAACTTATGGCCTCCAATTCTTACAATTGTGGAGTCACTTCCCAGGAATAACTACTAATTAGTCATTAAATGTCTTGCCTTTTTTATTGATTCTTTTTAGAGAATTCTATACCAGCATAATCAAAATATACACCAGGCTTTTCAAATAAAATAAATTGAGCCAGGCATGGTGACACATGCCTGCTGTTACAGCTAATCAGGAGGCTGAGGCAGAAGGATTACAGGTTGGAGGCCAGCCTGGACAACTTCAGTGAGACCTTGCCTAAAAAATAAAAATAGCTAGAGATGTAGTTCAATCCAAGGACGTGGGTTCAATTCTCATTAGCACAAAAATAAAAAAGAAAGCAAAGTAAATTGAGAAGGACTACCAGGTGAAGAAAGATCTTACAAGATTTTAAGTATAGGATGTCTCTTGCATGTCTGAAGGATACATTTTTTGGGGAAAAACAGTTTTTATCTTCTATTCAACTTTTTACACAGAGAGAAAATTACAGTTTATGGATGGCATTAAATCAAGTGGACAGGGCTGCTCAGGTACACACAATCCCTGCCTGCCTGGCTCCGTGGCAGGGCAAGCTGGCAGCTTATCATGGAGAAAGCCATGCTCTCCCAAGAAACCCAAAAAGAACAGCAAGATCTCTACTGCGGTTCAACCAGATACACTGACACATGGCTTTGCCCACTGCGTGATGTGGAAAAAGTGATATAAACTCTATGTGCTTCAGTTCTCATATCTTCAAAATGAAACAACAAAAGCCACCTCAGAAAATGAAATAGTGTGAAAATTAGCTGAAGTAACCAAGGGAAACACTTAGAAGTATGTGCTGTTTATGGTAAGCATTCAGTAAATGCTAGATTCAATAACCCTGCCTGATTAAAAGAAAAGCTAAGTAAAAGCCCCTCAAAAAACAGAAACCAAAAACTATGAATAGAACACCAAGATTAATCCTCAACTTGTGCCCTCACCCCTATAGTCACTTTACCATAAAGCTCACCAGATAATAAGACCCGACCTCACACCCGAAGTTTCCAATCAAGTTCTCAGGTTGTGGCCAAGGATCACTTGGGATTTCAGAAAGCCACCCTCATGAAAGACAAACTAAAACAAAGATATAAACATACTGGGGGGGCAAAAACTTAAGAAAGAGAATGTTGAGAATGATGAGTTTGTGCTTGCAAGGCAGGCGGCAGAACCACTGAGCTAAATCCCCGGCCCAAAAAATAAATTCTTGGTAATTAAAGATCATGGTTGAAATAAATTCAATAGAAAGTTTACAAAATACTGATAATGAAAATTTCCAAACAGTAGAAGAAATATTAAAAAGAAAAGGAGAAGAAAAAACCAAGAACATCAGAGTATTAATCTAACATCCCAATAGCAGAAGTTCTGTAAAGAGAAGATAGGAGAAAGAGAACAGAGAGCCAAATAATTCTGAAATAAATAATTCAAGAAAATTTTTCATTTAAAATGGTCCTGCATTTTTTGACAGAAAGTGCTTACTGAGTACACATGGAATAAACAAAGATTCACGCTCAAGACACATGGGGGTGAAATTTTACAAATCTACGTCTAAAGGAGGGCAAAAAAAAAAAATCATATATTTAACAGCTTAGGAATCAGAAAGACATTGCCAAGAGAATTGTTTCCACAGTATCTGAGTGCTGATGTTATAAATTTTCTTTTTCTCTTCTTCTGTTGTGTTTTTCATATAATCAACATGTATGATTTTTATGGTCTGAAGCTTATTTTAATACACCAGAATCAATACAGAGACATGAGCCTAGGTTTAACTGGCTCCGTCTCTTATCTGTCTTCATAGGTCACACCCTGTAGCAGAATCACCCAGGGAGGATGCTGGGTTGCAGAGAGCACTGTGGACAAGCCAGCCACCCACCCACGGACACGCCCAACCGGCTGCCCACCCGTGAGTGCATCCACACACATTCACTCCGTCTGTAGGCGCCCACTTTCTGCACACTCCAAGAATATTTCACTATCTGAAGGAAAAGAGGAAAAGCCCTCAATTCTTTTTCCTGAGACACATCTTTCTATCCATTATGATCACTGCTATAGAAAGCATTTATTTTAATACGGAAATGCTAACTGCTCCAATTTGTCTTCATTTCACTTATCGAACCACATCCCCAGCTCTGCCAAGAGATGAGTTTCCTATTGACAGACTCACCTGTGGAGAAGATGAACACTGTGTTGTTCCAGAGCCCATGACTTTTTAAGGCAGCAGTGACATTTCCTACTGCTTCATCCATAAGGGACACCATTCCTGCATAGAGACGCCTGTTCTTATCTTGGATAAAGTCATAAGGCTTCAGGTATTCCTCCGGGACCTGAAGGGGCTCATGGACAGACTGGAGAGCAACGTAGAGAAACAGAGGCTGGAAAGAGAGTTAGTTAAAACACATCAGTTAAGAGGATAAACTCAACCCAAGAATAAACATGTAATTTTATTAAAGTACTTACGGTACTGAGGCAGAAACAATAAATATAGAAAAATATTCCAGATTTACTAGTTAATAAAAATAACATTAAGACAACCTACAGAATACATTAAAAGTATTTGTGAGGGCCAGGGATTTAGCCCAGTGGTTCCGCCACCTACCTCATAAGCACAAGGTCCCAAGTTCTATCCCTGGTACCAAAAAAAAAAGGTATTTGTGAATCATATATGTGATAAGAGACTCATTCAGAAGATATTTTAACTCTTACAATTCAATAATCAAAGGTAATTAACCCATCTACAAAATAGGCAAATAATTTAAGTAGGTATTTCTCCAAAGAATGTATTTGGGGTTTTGCTGTTGTTGTTGTTTTTGTTTTGTTTTTGTTATCAGAGATCAAACTCAGGACCTTATGCTGCAAGGCAGGTGGCCACACCACTGAGCTAAATCCCCAGCCCTCTCCAAAGAATGTATACAAATGGCTATAATCACAGAGAAAGATGGTCAAGTCCATAAGTCGTTTGAAAACTCCAAAGCAAAACTGCAATGACATACAACTTCATACTCACTAGGGTAGTTTTTAATTTTTAAAATAAAAAATAACAGTAATGATGAGGATAAGGAGATTTTAGAACCCTCAAACATTCTTAGTAGGAATGTAAAGTGATATATATAGCCACCAAAAAAAAACGGGGCCGTTCCCAAAATCATTTACATCATAGTTAGCATATGACCCAGAATTTCCATTTCTACAGAAATGAAGTCACAGAGAATCTTGTATGACTATTCACTGCAATGTTATTCATAACAGCCAAAGGTGGGAGCAACCCAAATGTCCATCAATCGAATGGATAAGTGAAATATAGTACATTATCAGCAATACATGGCAATAAAAGAAATGGTATATTCATTTTACAGATTACTTAACCAAAGTTTTAAAAGGTTATATGATTTTCTCAAATTCACATTAATTGAAGAGTAATTACCTATTGGAAACTCAACCATTACAGTATGTATCAATAGATACTTTGGCTTTTTGCTTTCGCTGAAATAAGTTCCCACCCATTTCACAAGAGGTTTAAGATGTTTTTGATATATTTTATGAGAAAACAAGTAAACACTGTGCCTTGTTAGTCTTTGATATGGGACCAAAACATAAGACCAATTTAGTTCCTGCAAACTTAAACATTGGATCCACTGATCCTACTTCACCTCTTATACCAATTTTCAGTATTTACTATCTGTGGCTTCCCAGGTCAGCCTCTCCTGCTTGCTGAGCCTTTCTGAAGCATTCTATTAATTCTGCCCCTATAGAATTCTTCTGTGAGTACAAAAAAACAGAACAAAACAAAACAAACAAATAAAAAATCCTGAAAAGACAATAGGCTTAACCCAGAAGTTAACATGTAATTCTGTTAAAAGTATCTGAGATATTTAAATCTCATAAATGAATGGGATAAGATTAGAAACTAGATGAGAGGGGCTCATATTTTGTTCTTCATTTTGATAAGTTGTTTTAATTATATATTATACATCCTTATGGCAGAGTTAAAGAGTACTCATAAGACAGGTGTGATGGTGCACACTTGTAATTCCAGTGCTCTGGGAAGCTGAAGCAGGAGGATCACAAGTTCAAGCCTAGCCTGGGTAACTCTGTGACTTAGTGAGACCTTGACACAAAATTTTTTTTTGTTTTGTTTTGTTTTGTTTTTTGAGACAGAGTCTTACTATGTAGTTGGACTGACCTGGAACTCAATGTAGCCCAGGCTGGTCTCGAACTCAGAGCGATCCCCCTGCCTCAGCCTCCCGAGTGCTGGGATTACAGGCGTGCACCACCACACCCGGCTTAGACACAAAATTTTTAAAAACTGGGATAAAGTTCAATGTTATGCTACACACACACACATGCACACACACACACCCTACTCATATATTCAGTTTAAAGAGACAAGCAAAAGTTTATTTGTAATTTAGATCTTTGGAACTTAGAAATATATTTTTTTCAAAAATCAAATGTCAAAAATAGCTGTTAAATATCAAAGTCACTACTTTAAAACATTGTGTGAGTGTGTGTGTGTGTGTGTGTGTGTGTGTGTGTGTGTGTGTGTTAGTGGGGAATGAACTCGGGGCCTTGCATATAAAGTGCTCTAAAATTGGGCTATACCCCAAGCCCTTTTTATTTTGAGACAGTCTCACTATGTAGCCCAGGCTGGCCTCAAACATGCAGTCCTCCTGCCTCAGCCTCCTGAGTAGCTGGAATTATAAGCATTCACTGCCATTCTCACCTCTTCAGCATGGATGGAACCAAGTGCAGTCACCAGCCAAGGTATACACAGAAACAGGATTAAAATCAGAAAGCTACACAGGGTGTAGTACAACAAACCTATAATCCTAGAACTCTGGGAGGCTAAGGCAGGAGGATGGCAAGTTCAAATCCAGCAATTTAGCAAGACTGTCTCAACATAAAAACTAGGAAAAGGCCTGGGGATGTAGCTTGGTGCAAAGGCCCTAGGTTCAATCCCCAGTATCCCTCCCCCAATCAGAAGGCTACAATAATTTGCTTCCCACATAAAGTGTAAACATTTGAAACATCACACTCCAAAAAATGCATTCAAAAATTCTGTTTCCTAAAAAAATCAGAATTTCTGAAATTCCATGCCTACAATCCATCTGGTAGCAAAATCCTAGAATCTGAGAAACAGGTGCTCCACTCCAACTGTTGTCCAGTTTTCTAGGGTTTTCCCACTGTTCTGCCCAGGCTGCTTCACTTATTTAGATTATCCTGGTCCTTTTTGGAGGGGTGGAAGGGGTGCAACACCTTTCTTCATCATCTGGGTAGTGGCAGACGCTTCCAAAGGAAAAGACAGGTTAACAAAAGAAAAGCATAAGAAATTTAAAGTTTCATGTGATGAGGGAGCCTGTGGAAGTGTCTGCCACCACCCAGATGAAATCTGTCCCTTTTTATGCTTAGGACAATGGGGCATGGACAGCTGCGTAGAAACACAGACAAAAAGGGTACAATCTGACAAGAAAGGAGGCACTGGGAACCTAGCAAGGCTTATGTCCAGACTGCTCCTGGCTGCTCTGACATAGCAGTTCTTCCTCCTGGTTAGAAGGGAGGCCCCTAGAAGAAGAGTCCCATAACTTGTCATCAGACCAGAGTGGGTCAGAGAATTTCTTTATGGCCAGCTCTTTCACAGAAAGGCAGGGAAAGGTTAGAGTAATATTTTAAGTTTTATGACTGGTGCTATGGTTTAGATCTACAATGCCCCCTCAACTCTCACATGTTCGGAGGTGGGCTCTGGGGAAAGGTGACAGATCATGGAGGTGCTGTCCTCATCAGCTGATTAACACCTTAAGGAACTCACAATGACATCATCAGAGACTACTTCAGGGACAGGGAACCAGCAGGCTCCGCAGGCCCTCCGCCTACTGCTCATCAGAAGTTCAATTTGTGTTTTCTTCTAAAAGAGCCATAAACTTAGAAGTAGTTTTGCTATCAAGTGTGACTCTTCATTTGCACCTAGAGATGCCCAACAGGTAACTAAAAATAGAACAAAGCCCAACCTTCATTTTGTATCCTTTGTTATCTTAAAACTTGGGGTGGAATCCCTTTTTAGCAACATACAGGTATGTTATCATTTAGGAAGTTTCTGCCTAAAAGTACAGAAAACAAGGTTAATTAGCCCTGAACTTATACAACCTTATCCTACTTCAAGAGTAAGGACACCAAGATAAGGCATTTACAGGGACGTTCAACCAGCCCAGAGGTCTCCAGCCATTGTTTTATACTTGTGATCACCTGGATTCCAGGAAAAGGAGAGGTGTGCATGACTGAAATCATAAATATGGACAATCATCTCACAGATCCAAACTGCCCCTCCAACCAATGAGGACTCTAGAGCTATGAAATCAGGATTGAGATAATGTTCAATGGACTCCCAGCCCACTAGCTAATCCCTAAGACCAGGCTTCCAGCCTTTGTGGGTGGGCAAGTATGATCCCTTTTACCAGAGTTTACCCCTCCATCTGTCCAAGCTGAAGGCTTTTCCTATTTTTTTTTATTCTCCTGGTCTTTGTCAGCTCCTCAAGCTTTAAGTCCCTTACCATTTTTTCTTACTTTTCACTTAAAGCTTTTTCCTAAATTCATGCCTTGCTTTTAATTTCTATTATCACTACAAGCAAGGAACCATGCTAGCAGGCAAAAATGGTTGACTGCACCGTTAGGCAGTAGGGCCTGGTCGAAGGAGGTAAGTCACTAGGGATGTGACTTGCAAGGGTGTACTCCTGTCTTCAGCTTCTCTCCCTGCTTCGTGGCTACAGTGGGATTCCTCTGCCACAGCCTTCCACCATGATGCTTCTGCCTTGGCACCAGCCCACCATGGACCGAATCCACTGAATCCACGACACAAATAAACCTCCCCTCCTTTAAGTTACAGGCGTTGGGTATTTTGTCCCAGCAACAAGAAAGTGACTACTACAGCTGGCTATGGGGAAATGGCCTCAGAAAAGAGGAATTCTAATTCCAATGGCATGTCTTGGGTGACAAAGGGCAGCAGAAGACAGGACAGGAGAAGGTTGGAATGATCTTGTTTCTGAGGCCCTTCCAAATGTCCCTCAGTTCAAAGTACTTAGCATGCCAAACAGCAATACTTAGGGGTTCACTTTCTGTTCACTTGTAAACAAAACAGTCTATGACTCTGGTCTGGATTCTTATTTATTTATTGGTACCAGGGATCAAAGTTGGGTCATTGCACTTGTGAGGCAGGCGGCAGAACCACTGAGCTAAATCCCCAGCCCTATGGTCTGTATTCTTAACAGTGGGTGGGCGATAGAAGAGGAAGAGGAATTAGAGAGGGAGCCAACGACTTAAAGAGAAGATGTGCCCATCAGATGAAGGGGTTAGCATAAATTATCCTGGCATATCGACTATTTAA